TATTCTACAAAGAAACCCAATTCCTACAAAGTACTTCATATTCTACAAAGAAACCCAATTCCTACAAAGTACTTAATATTCTAACAAGAAACCCAATTCCTACAAAGTACTTAATATTCTACCAAGAAACCCAATTCCCTACAAAGTACTTCATATTCTACCAAGAAACCCAATTCCTACAAAGTACTTCATATTCTACCAATAAACCCAATTCCTACAAAGTACTTCATATTCTACCGAGAAACCCAATTCCTACAAAGTACTTAATATTCTAACAAGAAACCCAATTCCTACAAAGTACTTCATATTCTACCAAGAAACCCAATTCCTACAAAGTACTTCATATTCTACCAAGAAACCCAATTCCTACAAAGTACTTCATGTTCTACCAAGAAACCCAATTCCCTACAAAGTACTTCATATTCTACCAAGAAACCCAATTCCTACAAAGTACTTCATATTCTACCAAGAAACCCAATTCCTACAAAGTACTTCATGTTCTACCAAGAAACCCAATTCCCTACAAAGTACTTCATATTCTACCAAGAAACCCAATTCCTACAAAGTACTTCTACCAAGAAACCCAATTCCTTACAAAGTACTTCATATTCTACCAAGAAACCCAATTCCTACAAAGTACTTCATATTCTACCAAGAAACCCAATTCCTACAAAGTACTTCATGTTCTACCAAGAAACCCAATTCCTACAAAGTACTTCTACCAAGAAACCCAATTCCTTACAAAGTACTTCATATTCTACCAAGAAACCCAATTCCTACAAAGTACTTCATATTCTACCAAGAAACCCAATTCCTACAAAGTACTTCATATTCTACCAAGAAACCCAATTCCTACAAAGTACTTCTACCAAGAAACCCAATTCCTTACAAAGTACTTCATATTCTACCAAGAAACCCAATTCCTACAAAGTACTTAATATTCTACCAATAAACCCAATTCCTTACAAAGTACTTCATATTCTACCAAGAAACCCAATTCCTACAAAGTACTTCATATTCTACCAAGAAACCCAATTCCTTACAAAGTACTTCATATTCTACCGGTTGTAAAGTGTTGCATACTTCAAAGTGTATCTAAAAGTATCTTAGTAACACAAACAAAAGCAAAAAGCATTAATGTTAACAAAACTGGATTGTCTTACCAAAATCCTGCCTTTAAAGGTGGGGTAGGTAAGTTTGAGAAACCGGCTCGAGATACACTTTTTGTTATATTCCATGGAATGCTCTTAACATCCCGATAGCAATGAATATCTTAAGTGCTTTGACAAAAAATCCATAAAAAAATATCATCTGTGGAAGCCGTAGTACTGTAAAAAGCACGACCAATCATTGCTGAAATGATTGGATGGCCTACCTGCCTGTCAGCCTTCCATCTGGGCACAAACTTATCTCGTGCCCTCATTGGTCATGTGCGCGTTCGTGTGTGCCCCAGGGCCTGATGGAAGGTTAATAATAGATGGTCATCACACCTCACATCAAAGGTTTATTAGGGGTCATAGAGAGTAGACACCTGTCATCACACCTCACATCAAAGGGTTATTGGGGGTCATAGAGAGTAGACACCTGTCATCACACCTCACATCAAAGGTCTATTAGGGGTCATAGAGAGTAGACACCTGTCATCACACCTCACATCAAAGGGTTATTGGGGGTCATAAAGAGTAGACACCTGTCATCACACCTCACATCTAAGGGTTATTGGGGGTCATAAAGATTAGACACCTGTCATCACACGTCACATCAAAGGGTTATTGGGGGTCATAAAGATTAGACACCTGTCATCACACCTCACATCAAAGGTTCATTAGGGGTCATAAAGAGTAGACACCTGTCATCACACCTCACATCAAAGGTTCATTGGGGGGTCATACAGATTAGTCACCTGTCATCACACCTCACATCAAAGGTTTATTAGGGGGTCATAAAGATTAGACACCTGTCATCACACCTCACATCAAAGGTTCATTGGGGGGTCATACAGATTAGTCACCAGTCATCACACCTCACATCAAAGGGTTATTGGGGGTCATAAAGATTAGACACCTGTCATCACACCTCACATCAAAGGGTTATTAGGGGTCATAAAGATTAGACACCTGTCATCACACCTCACATCAAAGGGTTATTGGGGGGTCATAAAGAGTAGACACCTGTCATCACACCTCACATCAAAGGTTTATTGGGGGTAGTGAGTAGTAAGGGTCATAAATCATGACTCTGTCAGGGCTATGCTAATGTGACACAAACAGTATGAATATATAACGGTGTGTGTACAGTAGGTGTGTGTTTGTGTGTGTCTCTGTGTGTGTGTGTGTGTGTGTGTGTGTGTGTGTGTGTGTGTGTGTGTGTGTGTGTGTGTGTGTGTGTGTGTAGATGCAGCAGACAGACAGGTCTCAGTTGGTTTGGTGTCCTATCCTTACTTTTAATATTTGTAAATAAAACCTTTGGCCCGTCATTTCATTTCCTCATTGTAGCGACCAGAGAGGGGAGAGGGGGGGGGGTATCCAGTCTCTGATAGTGTTACGTTATTATGAGAGTGCTCTCATACTTGTTTGAGTATGAGACACCTGGTTGACCCCCTCACCTCCTGCAGCCACAGAGCCAATGATCCACAGGAACATGAACAGTCCCACACGTTGCGCAGCCATGCGAGCAGCTGATGCTAAACAGGAAGTGATCTGAACAGAGTGTAATCCAGTTTGGACCGGTTTGTGTTCGCTCAAAGGTTTCATACACAGAGGGAGGGGGGGGAGGAAGGGGGAGGAGGAAGGGGGAGGGGGGGGGAGGATCCATGGTCACATGATTTACAAGAAACTGTTTGCTTTATCAGAATGACACGTTCAAGTACAGAGGGGGGGTGGGAGAACAGTGCAGTGAGATCATTTCAGTGAAAGGTGATCTCAGAGTGAATGTGATGATCAAATGTGAATCCATTTGAAATATATTGAGGGTCTAACCTTTTTAAAAGACTGAACAGATGAATCTAACTATAGTGAGTGTGTCCACAAACAACATTAGTTACACAGAGTAGAGAAGAAGGGACGCTTTAACCCGGGGGCCTTTTATCCAGACCTTGAAAACAAATCAAACGTACAGCAAAGTTTAAAGGGGACCTGCTTTGGTATTTCACTCAGCTCGTCTCTCCATAAAACACAGCGTTTTATATAAAGAGAGATGTGAGAAACAGCAGAGGAAATAAGTGTTGCTGCCAAAGTCTTTAGCTGGTTGATGTAAGGACGTCATATTGGTGTCCTGCCTAAAAGAAAAGAATATCACAATGTGTGGTTGTCATTGCTGCATTTTCTGTTTCCTTAAATAACACACTAACATGAGAAGCATATCAGAATGATGAGGAATAGCTTTTGCCTGAACTCTTACTCTTGTCAGCAGAAAGTTACTCTTTCTACTGCTCACTTCTAACTCTCCCCTTTGTTCTGTCTCTTCTCAGGGTCCAGGCTACGCGTCTGGTCGCCCGGCACCACAGGGGGGCTCCTCAGACGCCAGATGGACATTTATTTTAGGGGCAAAAAGCATCGAGTCAGGGCTGGAGTTAGTACTCCCCTTACCCGGATCTTGAGGACAAATATGTGTCCCCGGTGTCTCAGGAGACTCACTAATGCGGCTTTCACACCAGCGCTTTTCCCTTTCTAGCTCCTAGCGAGAGCTTTTCTGGTTCAGCTCCGGTTTCCCTTTTCAGCTCCCGCTCTGTTCACACCGCCCAGAGCTGCCGAGAGATTTTCTCCCACAACAACAACGGGCCGGGGACTGCGTCGGGTCGATGATCGTGTTGCTTTTAATCATACGAAGCCAGATTAAATTAAATAACGACTTCTCCAACCTTATACTTTTCTCCAGAGTGCCGTGGTTCATTGTTTATTAATGTGTTTCATTTAGCGACCGCTGCAGTGCTGGCTGCTCTTCCACGGGAGTTTATTCTCCCGTTAGCTCCGGGTTAGCTCACACGGCTCTAAAGTATTCACTGTCTGACTGTCACACAAGCAGCTGATACATATCCCCAGTTCCCCTTAAGTGAATGTGTGTCAGTCTGAATTGACGCTGTTTGGCATCACAACGCTGTTATGAAAGTTTCTCTGGTATAACATGGGTGATGTTAGCATAGCAACCGAAGCTAAACTGACTACTTGCTAAGCCGTTTTCTACAGGCACATTTTACCGGCGTATTTTTCATTATGGTTCTACTTGTGATAGTTGGACATGACAACCTGTACAGCCCATGTATCTCCACAATGATCAATAACAGCGAACGGATGGTCAAAGTAAGGTTTCCTGCACGCCTCGACGTAAGATTTTTTGGAGCTGGAAGTGAACCGCATTCCGGAGCTATGACGCGCCGCCGCTGCGGTGTGAACAGGAAAAACCGGCGCTTTTCCAGCTCCTAAGTGTCAGAAAACAAAACCCTCTCTCTTTTCCTAAAAGGTTTTTTAGCAAAGCAGTGCAATGCATTTGGGCTTTAACCATTTTCATTCAAGTCACTTTACCTTTCTGCATTTTCAGCTAAGTTCAGCATCACATGTCACATTGCATCACATGTCACCTTTTAGACACTTTTATCCAAAGCAACTTACATACTTTCAATACTGAGGACATTATTGCCCAGGGACACAACGACATGCTGACTGCAGAGGAACCAGATAACTTCTCTCAGTTCGTTCATCTAAAGGGATTTCATATCCACCAGAACTCTAAACACATTTTCTTTCTGACACCAGTAAATGACCTGTCTGTCTCCGTGACGATGACCCCGCCCACCCACGCTGAGCAGCTATTGGATGATGACTATGATGATGTCATGTCTGCTGTGACCACGGAGCATCAGTTCTGAAACAGAAACAGCAAAAGACCCAGAACGCTTCCCTGAGGAACTCCACGTGTCCTCGTTGCCATGGGGATGGTCCTCGTTGCCATGGGGATGTTATAATTACACATTTCAAGATAAAAAAAACACGCTCACCATCAGACTGGTTTTAAAGATTGTTTATTATAGCTTGACAAATCATTCTGTGTTACCGAGATGAAGTACATTTCACATTTTATAACTTTCAGTACAAATGTTTTCTTTAACAATCTGTCATTCTTTCCCACTTTTATAAAATGTTTTAAAGTAACAGATCTTTGATTAAAATACTTTTTTTAACGTAACAGTACTTTGGCTTAAATAAAATGTCTTTAAATCATTTTCTACGTCACAAGCTTTATTATATTTCTTAACTCTGAGGCTTTGGTCTGTTAGCATTAGCAGCTAATGCTCAGCACAAAGAACACATGTGCACAATATACAATAAACACAAGAACTAATTATATATAAAATAAGAACTTCAGTGTCCAGATGTAACATGTACTTTTCTTACAAATACCTGACACAGAGCAAAGCAAGCTTAACATTGAAAGATTTAGGCACATTCATGTTCGGTATGTTCTCAAAGGGAAGTGCAGTTTGTTATTGATTCGTTATCGGGATGCATTCATTCAAATCAAATCATTCATCATTGAATCGGCTACTTTTAGTTTCTGATCTCTTCTTTAGCAATCTGAAAGAAGTTCTTAATTTAAAGTTTAACAATCAAAACTGTTTCACATTTCATGTAAATCTACTTAGAAAATAAATAAACCTTTTAAAGTCTTATTCAGGACATCCACAGATTCAGAAAGGAAGTATTAAGTATATACTGGAATAATTATCTGCAAATACATAAACCTGAAGCAGACGACGTTTCTGCGATAAAACAAAGCACACGTGAAATGAGTTACGAAGCGCAGACCTCTTCACAGCCGACTGAGACTCGATGGGGGGGGGCGAGTACATTCACCTAAAGAACATGTATTTAAGTATATTGGTGTACTTAATAATAAGTCATAGTACTTCAACTTAAATACAATGTATTCATAGTAACAGTACTTTTAATCAAACAACATGTGTTTTAAGTGCAGTTACTATGGTAACATGTATTTTCAGTACTTTTCCCTGAGTCCAATATATAAACCATAAATACTCAGAACGGTCTCTTTGGAGTTGTTATTTGTTCAGAAGCAGTTGATGGAGGACAGTCGGGTGTTAGAGGTGCGTGGTTGATGAGTGCTTCACTCTTTAAAAGCATCACACTCATCTGGACTCGGCAAAGGATCCCTTTTAGGTTTTGGAAAAGCAAAACGTTTAATAGCATAACCAGCAACACCAACAAGAGGACAACCCAGTCCCAAACCAACTCCCAACCCAACGTTTCTTCTGTGCCGTTTATTCAATTCTTCCTCCAAATCTTCCTTCGGGGGACCTGAGGACAGAAACAGAGAGCAGTGAGGAAATGACGGGACCCCCCCTCATGTTGGAGAACAGCTGATCATGAAGGTGATGAAGAACAGAATCTGTTTCCTCTCCAGTCTCATGTCAGACATTATCTACCGATCACAGAGCATCAACATCATCTTTAAACATCTCAATGGAGGAACTCTTCAGGAGAAACACCAACTCACCTTCAGAGACGCTCAGATGGACGGAGTTCACCAGTTTTGTTGGCATGTTGGAAGTTGTAACCCGACACTGGTACGTTCCCGTGTCGCTGACGTTGAACTTCGTCAGGACAACAGAAGCGTCTCCGTTCTTCATCTCTGGATCTTTCAGCTCAACACGACCACGATAACGTGGATCCTGGAAGCTATCATACGGCCTGTTATTCCTGAAGAAGAAGACGTTAACATCCTTCAGCTCAGATCTGCTCCACACCAACTTTGTGACAGCAGCATCTGTGTGACTGTGACACTGAAGAGTGACGTCTTCTCCAGGCTCTGCCGTCACCTCTAAATCTACAGAAAAACAGAAAGTCAAAAGTCAGCAGCATTTCTTTAACGGTGATCAGCTCAACCTGCACATTTCTACTTCCTGTTTGAAACGGCACAGCTCTTAAACTTTAAAGTCTGATATACTTCACATACTTTGTTCTTTAACTTAAGATGTTGAATGCAGGACTATCACATGTAGTTCATTTGAAGTTTAATTCCTTTATTCGTCCGACAAAGGGAAAACAGCCATGCACATGGGGGGGGTGTCCGGTGCCTTGCTCAAGGCACCACGGCAGGGCAGGAGGTGAACTGGGACCTCTCCAAGTAGCAGTCCACACTCCATATTAAGGTCTGTTCAGGGACTTGAACCGGCGACCCTATGGCTCCCAGCCCCTACTGACTGAGCCCCTGCCAGGCGGCTGCACGTCGGTGTTACAGCAGAGGGTCAGAGCTCTGCTGGAGGAGGGCTCTATTTAGAAATGAGAAAGACTCTTGGCCTCCATTGGCTGGAGCGAGCAGGGAGTCAGTTTGTATTTGTTCAGTTTCAGCCAATCACAACTCTCCGTCTCAAATGACATCAGCAGTGTTTTGGAGGGGCGCAGTTTCCTCTCGCAGAAAATAAAAGATAACATCTAAGGTTCTCAGGTTACAACAAAAACAAACAACTCTTTACAAGAACTCATCGCTTTGAACAATAAATAATAAACATCATAAAGTTTTAGGAACAATAAAACAGAAAGTGGTTATGAAACAATTCCAGCTGCAAAGAGTCTGCTTTTGTTCAGGCGGAGGGATCTTGCTTCCACCAAGAAAATAGTGCCTAACGAAACTCTGTTTTCTGTTTAAGATATTAGTTCATATCATAAATACTGTAACTAACTAAATAATTATAATGCAAGAATAATTAAATTATGTACATTTGAATAAGCTCTAAAATGAAATACTGTGAAATAGAAATCAAATACTTGTTATTATATATAGACCCAACAGTATACAAAACAGTAGTAATATATAGTACAACAACTTGATTACAAATATGTATTTACCTCTGGACATGACATAACATTCAATGCTCAGAGGTGTAAAGTAACTAAGTACATTTACTCAAATGCTGTACTTAAGTACAATTTAGAGGTACTCATACTTTACTTGAGTATTTACTTAAGCTACTTTGTACTTTTCCTCCACTACATGTATTTAATACCTTTAGTTACTTTACAGATGTGGATGAATGATGTGAAATATAATCAAGTGTTAAATCAGACTTTAGTTCCACCTGGAGTAAATCCACAAGCTACCCTGCAGTATACAAAGTCATTATAGTATATTAGTCCTTGAGTATATTACTCAAGTACATGACACAGCTGAATCCTGGCTCTGAGACACACACACACACGCACACACGCACGCGCGCGCACACACACACACACACACTTCACCTTCTGCAGCCACAGAGCCAATAATCCACAGGAACATGAAGACATGTTGGGCAGATGTTAGAGCCGCCATGGCGGAGCGAGTGAGTCTGCACACGTTTCCTTGTTAACGGCAGCTAGAGGGAGGAAGAGCAGGGCGGGAGAGAGGGAGAGAAGGGAGGTCACATGTGCCGTTTATCAAACCAGCTTCCGCATTAGATCTCTGCTAACTGCGTCATGGGAGTTTAAAGAGATCCGCGTTAAGAACTCTGGAGTAACGGGCCACACGGACACTGCCCTTACGCAAAGAAAATATATTTCCCCATATATTAAAGGTGGGGTAGGTAATTTTGGAGAAACCAGCTCGAGTGCGCTAGAATTTGAAAATACACAGCTGCAAGAAATCTGCCACTTCCTCACAGAGCCCCTCCTCCAACACACACGAACGCGCACATGACCAATGAGGGCACGAGATAAGTTTGTGCACAGATGGAAGGCTGACAGGCAGGTAGGCCATCCAGTTATTTTACCCGGGTGATTGGTTGTGCTTTTTACAGTACTACAGTACTTTGCTTTTTACAGTACTACAGCTTCCACAGATGAGATTTCTTTATGGATTTTTTGTCAAAGCACTTCAGATATTCATTGCTATCGGGATGTTAAGAGCATTCCATGGAATATAACAAGTGTATCTCGAGCCGGTTTCTGAAACGTACCTACCCTACCTTTTAATTTACAATATATAATTTAACATTCTGTTCTTGTACATATCATATTCTATTTACATGGATATAGACTTCTTGCACTATTTTGTATTTTATTATACATGTTGCATTGTTGGAGGAGCTCAGGTCAGAAGAATTTCATTGCCATTTCTACACTGTAGCTGCTATGATGATAAAACCTTTGAATCTGTTAGAAATTAAAATCAATGTTAAACAGCATAATTCAGTCTAAAATATATCGTCAGTTTAAAGCTGTTTTATTGTGGAAAAAACCCGGAAGTTCTCAGGAAATCAATGCCAAGCTTTTATTCTGAAAATCCTTTATCCGGTTAGCATGTGACTAAATATTACGTTTTCTGAATGTAAAGTTAAAATGACTTGGAGTGTTACACACCAAATCGTACGGACTTTAACACTACATCGATAGACGTTAAGATATTATTACTGCTGAATATTAAATGAAGGAACAGTTGATCATGGAGTGTTTACACATTACGTGAGTAGCTATGACGTCAGAGGGAACTACCGTAAATGAGAACTGTGTCGTAAAAGTGTTTCTAGGACTTCTAAACTAACGATTACAGCTGTTTATAAGGTATTAAATAGAAAGTCATGACAGAGATAAGGAGGAGAGAATGCTTAAGGAAATAGGCAGAGAATACCAATGTCGAAATCATCTGTGCTCTCGCGATATCGAACCCACAAGATGAGAAGGGCGGTCCCGCTATCTTCACAGCGGGGGACAACGAGACGTGGATAAAAAGGCAGGACGGAAGATAACTCAGTCTCTTCCCTTCGCTGCAGCCTCCCTGAAGACAACACCGGCTTTGTCTCTCCATTACCCATGCTTGTTCTTCAACCACGTTACTTAATTAAACTACCCATTTGAACCTTTTCAGAGACTCCATTAGTCTCGTTATTTTAAGTTTCTTTCCTGGGAGCGAGAAGATCACGATTTATCAACATTTGGTGACCCCAGACATGTGATCTCGACACTGGGAGAGAAACCGCTAGTTTCGACGGAGATTTTGCGAACCAAAAGACACACAAAGGGCCCATACACAAACGGTAAGAAGAAGCCAGTTATATCAAATTCTTCAATAGCTTATTTAGAACCATTTAGATTTGTGTGTTTTGAGGCGAGCAGGACATCCTGAGAACAGCTGTTAATGTAATGTTAAATATCTAAATTTAAACCAAACCACGTGGCGTTGTTTTATACCAAGCAAGGGTAAGTCTATTTTCCTTTCTTTGATTCATTAACCAACTGTATGTTTTTTAAACCAACTGCATGATTATAATGTGTGTGTTTTCCAAGCCGGATATATTAATGTGCTTTTAAGCCGGTATTTATATAATCTTTAAAAAATAAATAAAATAAAAAATTAAAATTAAATAAAATAAAAATTTAAAAATTTAAAAAAAATCCCAGATATTGAAGTTAAGTTCGGATGACATAGGATATTTGTTATCAGGAGCGAAGGTACTATTCAGTAGATTAGTGATTCATCTTTGATACATTTAAGGACTATATCCAACTACTTTATTATATTGTGTTTGACGACTTATAGATGGACTCTTGTCGTTTTGTATATTCTCAAGACAGATGGTATCTTCTTGACAGAGAAATAGATGGTATCTTTTCTCGTTGTTATTAGCAAGTTAAAGATGGAATCTTCTTGTTAAAGAGAGTTGATGGCATCGTCTCGTTTTTAGTCTCAAGATCAGATGGAATCGTCTTGTTTCATTGTCCCAAATAAGTGAAATGGTCTCTTGTTTAATTGGTGATAAGAGTCTGTGGAAGTCGGAAGTATACTCTCTAATCATTGCGTGTGCATTACGGAAAGAAATGCGGAATTCATGCGTTAGATAGACGATATTCTTCTGATAGTGTTTGACTGGCTTCCCATTTGGTCGCACAATAGCGTGAGAGTTGCCCAGACGACCATAGGCTAAATAGTTTTGATGGTCTCTAACTATTTTGTATTAACTTGTTTAAATTGTATAGCATATTGAGAGTGTCGTGCTGTTATACTGCTCTGAAGTTTAGCCTGGAATGAGGTCTCCTTGTTGAGATCAACACCTCCAGGATTTCAACGCATCAGAGACAGCCATTCTTCTTGCAAAAAACTCTTTGTTCTGCAGGTCAGCATTTGAAATCAGTTGCCATCTTGTTTTGACCTCATGTTGACAAACAATGACATGGCAGTCGCCATTCTGTGAAATGCTAATTCAGAGGACCAGTTGTTGTCTTTTTGAAATCCATTCAGTTTCACTCACATGAGGCTAATTCAATATTCATGACCTCCATAGTGTGTAGAAAAAATCATTCTTCTTGAGTCAAAGTTGGAATTAGATATTCCATTTTGCTGAATCAGGTTATCTATACCGTTGGAGTTTGGTTTTTGAAGAAAAAGATTATTGTATTTTCTAAAAAGCTCAAATCTGAGTTTTGAAATATTAGTCCTTGCAAAGGAGTTTTACCTGCTTATGCTTATACTGTGCGATGTGGTTTGGCTGTTTTATGCTTTGTCGATTAATCCTAAAAATTGTGTGTGCTGATGGCTGTTTTATGCTTTGTCCATTAATCCTAAAAATTGTGATTGCAAGTGTATTCGCTGGTTTAAGTTTGACTGTTTAATCATAAAGTGAATTTCTTTCCCATATCAAAAGTAGTTTTTTAAGAAAATTAGCTTCTTGTTAAAAAGAAGTCCGTTTTTAGAAAAATGTAAAAGGGTGGAAAAAAGCTGAAAAATTACAACAGCGCACTCTGCTGGTTGTACAGAATTGTTGCACAAGAAATAGGGGTAAAAGGACAAACGTATAAATACAACACCAATTATTTATAATTATGCAAGTATTATAGATGAACACGTACTTCATCACACATAGATAGAATCACAGGTGGTTCCTGATATTAAGATAAGAAACCTTACATAAGTCTTTCAACCTAGACTGTAGAATATCTAAACACCACACAATTGAAGTAAAAACATAGTTTATGACATTAGTATAATTTCATGCACTTTGGAATACACTATACACAGTAAAGCTAGATTTTTACGAGATTTCTATTTGCATATTTCAAAGCCAAGCCACTGTACAAGGTTTATCAAAAAAAAAAAAAAAAAAAAAATCCCAGATATTGAAGTTAGGTTCGGATGACATAGGATATTTGTTATCAGGAGCGAAGGTACTATTCAGTAGATTAGTGATTCATCAGTGATACATTTAATAACTATATCCAACTACTTAAGAAATATGTCGCCAAAATACACTAAGTTAGGAGCACCCGCAGAGCCAGGGTCAACTGCAGACATCAAGGCAAAGGTACATGTCAGATCAGATGCCACAACACATGCATCAGACAGACAAAAGAACTGGAAACAGATACAGGAATTGTTTGATCAATGGCAGACGAGAGGATTGATTCCAGCAGATGATCAACCTGGCCCAACAAAAGCCCATAGAAAAGCTGTAGTTGCTTATGAGAATGAGAGATACTTAGACCAGCAAGAAGCATGGATCCACACCAGACACCCCTTTTGGCATGGACCTGAAAAAAGCGCTATGAACAAAGCTGAAAAAAGAAAAACGACAGTTACAAGTCTGCTGCTCCATCTGAAATATGCCAGCCAGGGATTGACAAACAGCATACATGTGTTAGAAGCGGCAAATCGGCCAGTGAAGGAAGACACAGCAGGAATAACAGAAGAGGCTCCAGTTATCCAAACTCAAGAGCAGAATCCAAGTCTAACTGAAGTGTCTTTTTCCAACATATCAGAGAACAACCCTTTTCACCAAGCCCCTATAGGAGAAGTATTGGAGTTGGATGGACTCCCCACAGCTACACGTGTCAAAGACTTGGAGTATGAAGTAAGGATGCTATCTGGTGAAGTTAACCAGCTGAAGGAGGAACTCAAAAGAAGAGAGGAAGACAGATCTCAAGACGCTACAACAGTAGCTATAGCTGGAAGACTCAAGAACTGCACAATCCACATGTTACCGGTGATAGCAGCTGGAGAAGGAGGATTTCAATACCAACCATGGACTCACAGGGACATGGAAACATTAGTGTCCAAGCTACCTCCACTCACCAAAGGAGGTCAGAAGTGGGTGAATGATCTGGAGAAGTACACTGTCCAAGACGACCTGTGCTTGGGAGACATGAGGGCACTGCTAGGACGGATAGAAGGAAGACTAAAGGCAAGAGCAGTAGATTTCGAGGCCAAATGCGCCAACTCTCCAGATGACATTTCATTCAACAAAATCAGGTCGAGCTATTGGGCTGCTATTCGTCACATCTACCCGACAGCATACAGTTGACATGCCCTCACCAGCCTGAAAAAAGGAACGGAGGAAGACATGCATGCCTTCTTGAAGAGATGTGAAGGAGTGTGGGAGGACAGCACTGGAGAACGACATGACGCTTCTCCGGCTGTCGTGATGTTGTGGAAGAATACGGTCATTAAAGCCCTTCCCCAATCTGTGCAGGCATGCCTGGAAGGCAAGGTGGGATTATACATTAAACCCATTGAAGAATGGAGACAACATCTCATTCACCACGACATGACATACCAGGCAACACAGACGGAAAATGACGAAGTGATGAAAGCACTAAAACTAAGACT